ATTTGGTGACATCGGTTCACTTGCTTTGGGTGTAACTTGCCTTGAGAGCCATCTACTAGTTTCTGTAGTTGTTCTATGCGAGTCTATTCCGTACTTCGGTTTTCCGTGCATCGGGCTACAACATGGCCGGTTAAAGCATAGATTTGAAAGTTGATATGCTGATGAGGAATTAGCAGTCGTTAACGTGAATTAAGAGAATACATGTTAGTTCTAGAAACAGGACAACTGCTGAGTTACACGTTCATATTTTAAACAACGGCACAGTCAAGGTGGTAATGGAATAGTTTTACTTTGAGAGTATACAAGAAGTTATTATCTGGATCTGCCAGAGCGTGATAGGTTTTTGTGTATGGCAAGGGTGTCACGGCTCGTATCAGACAGATCCGGCCTGCAGTCAGCCGCTCGAGTTCCTCTCCGTGGTTGGCGATGGGAAGTCGCTGGACTCGACGCGCCGACGGCTAGGGCCCTGCCATCAGTATTAGGTACGGACTTTCCAGCCACATCATACAAGTGCACGCGAGCACCGTGTCTCGACAACACGCCGAAGGCGTTGGTCGCAGCACCATTCCAATCGTTCGCCACTCGCGATTGGGACCCGTAAGTGGGCCTCAGCTAATACAAATGATGGGGTAAGAAAGATCTTGGAGAATGACAACTTCCTCTGTCAGTAGCCCAGTCATACCTACGAGCGAGCTTGGGAGCATGAACGAGTTCATCACAGGTGCAATACAGGTGTTTACCGTACTGTTTGATTATGACCCTAATAACGTTCACGTGGGGGTTAGCAACAATCGCGGTATTCCATCGTGGACGGCTGACACCGGCGGGAGGAGCGGAGGGAGGGGAGGGGCCAGAACAGAGCGTAGAGACGACCACCGCAGACCGCGATGTCTAAGCGGTAAGCCATGCACGAGGCATGCTGACAATCAACGAGTAAGTGTTCGGTAGGGGTCTAGAGGATAGGTAAGAAAGCGCTTTTGCACACGAAATTCCAGGAGACGACGGGATGTCCACTATTTAGTCACAGCACGTAGAGAGAGAATGATGCACGTCCATAAGCGCACTGATATTGGCCCATGCGGTGGTGTGTAGCGAAGGCTCACTTGTTTCGAACATATACTGTCTTGCAGTCTTTGTTGCGAAGACGGGGGAACGAAGGAGGAGGGGGTTACGCATGTAGAACTGAGAGTTTGAAGCCATCGAGGAATCTTAGAGGCTGAGCGATGAAAATCGGCGTGCCGTTACAGTACGGTAGATTCTGTGCGGTGCCGCACAATCTTCCCATGAAGCCGATTTGTAAACTCAGGACACAAGCCGGAAATCGCCGGTACGACTGGCATCTAGAGGTACCTATCGCTATGATGAGTTTGACCGAAGCAGTGGATAGCGGCTGGTGATCCTGGGAGCGGTACCCTGGGGAAGGCAGCATGGGCGAGGGGTCGAGATGCGGGGAGAGAGGGGTTGTATAGTCGAGGAGCTGATTGGGCTAGTGACGGACTGACTAGGGCTACAGCATGTAAGATTCCTGCCTGTCGCGCAGGGAGTGCATCGCATTTGGCAGGACGAGGCCGGGCAGGCTGGCTGCTCGAGGTACTTGTCCTGTTTACACGGAATCGGTGGCTGGAGGGAGCAGAGGTAAGAGAGCTGAGAGGAAATTTGCGAGGTGAGGAGACATCCAGAGCGAGCTAGAGCAACATATTTATACGAACAGGGAGGCTCTCTTACCTCAGATTATAAAGTTCTGCTTCGTGGTGGCGTAACAGATGTTCGGTACCGCGAAGTTGCATCGCCTTGATAGATATCTCGGATACGAAGGACCATTCCAGATACTGACACAGACTGGCGGGGCAATATGCATTGGGGAAGCCGTCGATTGACGTGCTATTGATATGCTCCTTCGAGTGCTTGCGACAAAGTGAGCGGTAAGAGAAGAGGGGTATCGTGTGAATTTCTGTGGGCAGAGACCAAACTCCTATATGAGCGCTGCTGAACCCTTCTCTAACTGACGCTACTGATGAAGGGCTCTGAGCTAATGTGATGTTTTTCGTGTGGTGTCGGTCGTGGCCCTGAGAACGATGATGTCGCGCATGATGGAGCCGGGTGTGAGGGACGGGGTGCGGGGGCTACTGTGTGGAAGGATGGAGGCGGTAAGACGCGGAGCGGAGAGACGGGAGGACGTCCAGGAGGTATATGGACGACAAGTGGTTGACTAAGTGAAGTATTGTATAGGTCAAGTTCGAACATGAAGAACAGTTAATGTTGTTTCTGTGTGGGTGGGGAGTTCAGCTGGATCTCCTCGCTCATCTCTGTATGAACCTAGTTCGACGAGTATGTGGTTATGATTGAAGCGGCGTCCAAGTGCCATGGATGTCGTCGACGACAATAACGGAGCTCCTGAGTACCACTATAGCAGCTAGGCACTAAAGCTGATAAATATAAAGCTAGAACCCCTAAGCCCTTAGCCAGGTATGGCAGTACAACCATCTCACTCACGCGATAGCAGCTTAACATAACGGGTGCAACCACAAAACATCGCATCAGCGTTAGGCGTGGGCCTGAGCGTGCGACAGTGTCGACATCGGGCGAGATTAGCAGAGGATGCCACACCACTACGTTTATCCGGTATTTTATACGAATTTCGATTCCTTTTGACACCACTACGACGAGTGTTGTATCAAAACTAGGAATTTCCACTGTATCGAAAAAAAACAATTTTTTTTTACTGTCAATTAATTGTAATTATTTTGTCATTATTTCAGAATGTCAGGAAAATGCATCTCAGAATGCAGACAAGTATCGTAGCGCCCGGTCCTTTTGGTCGAGGAGCTGCGAGCGCTCCGCATTGGGGGTGGCCAATGCCGGACCCCCTAAGCAATCTGGTCACTATGGGACCCGCGAATACTAACTTTGATGGCCAGTGCATGGACAGATTCTCGCGGTCAAATGGTGAGTTGGATCGCTCGGTTACTATTGGAGAGATCTCTGGAGGTATGAAGAGTAGTGCAGGCAGTGAGAGGCCCTCAGTAGAACGGAGGAAAGCGGCAGTAGATAAGCACGACTTAGGTGATGGCGGGTGAGTAGGGGAAGATGAGAGTCTCTCTCTTGGTCACAAGTTTCTCGCGAGCGTGGTGTTCTTACGAGCAACAATAAAGCAATACAAGGGCTACTTGGTATACCGACTGGCCCACAGCCTGATATAGACCGGATCACTGCACCGAAAGAGCACACGGACACACTTACCTTCAAGCCACGAGACTTTGTAAATACACACGGCAGATTTAGGCTCGACACATGACGTAGTACGTCTACCGTCCAGTGGGTTTCCTTCGACCGCCTACTCCACGCGACCTACGTTTTTGTTTCGTATATTGGTGGTTGTTCTGGTTCCTTTCGTCTCTGATATTCCGATTTACATGTTATACGTCGTTACGTCCTAGTCTTACGCCTGTCCTTTTGCAGGGTCTCACGCTTGCCTGGCATGGTGGATGAGCTGGTTACTACCTTACTCTCGGCATAGGTGAGAGTTTTGGATGATCTTAGCCCTGCCCGACACTCTCCCTGCAGGGCACTCAATCAGATTTTGTCCCTTCCCCTTTGCTGGCCCTCTCTGATTGACTACAATGGCACAATGTCTCACGGGTATGTACCTACAACGGAGCAGCTCTAATCTGGTATAGCGTGTGTGTCCCGGGCGGGTCGCGCGCCGTCGACCGAAATGGAGGCCTATGGCACATGGCGGTCGGAAAGCCCCGCGACATCCTGAAACATTGCAGCCGAGACGCGCGGACCCCACTCTAAATATCATTCAGCCCCGGACGGTAAACAGTGCAAAACAAACAGTAAACAGGGCTAAACAAGCACATACATGCACACACGTACATGCACACGACGTTACGCACACGCAGGCATTCAACACCCTGAGTAACCGATTGTAACCGATCATCGGTTACTTGGGTCCAACCGATGATCGATTACGAAATTACAACCGATTGTACTCAAATGAGCCTAGTCGCTTTGCGGCTCTTGTTATTAAAAAGTTATGACTTGAGACTTGTCTTCGCCGTATATCATTTTGTAGTCTTCTGCAAAGCCTGCCGCCACATCTAGTAATTCCTGCAGTTCCCTGCAGCTACCGTAATACTAATAAATAATAGTAATAATTGTTAGCTGGTCACTATACACAAGGGGCTGGTTTCACGAAGCGTAATTAAGTCTTTAATCATAATTACGGGAAGTTAATCATGACTAGTGATTTAATCATAATTAAAGTTAATCACACTTTGTGAAACCGGCCCCAGACTACACTTGGGTATTAGTATGTGTGTGCTGTACAGATGCTTATTAGCAAGTTCTTTAATGTGAGTCATAAAACTATGCAGAATTGTAATAAGCAAAGAGCAAAAAGGGATAGTAATTAATATAATATTAATAATGCACAATTTCACAGATATCAAACAGTCAGCTCACTAGTAAATAGTGTAATGATTGTAACAAACTACTCTTCCCACAAAATATATGGTACAGGTGGGTTATAGCTATAAGGTCACAAAACATTAAACAAATAAATCACACAATCAGGCGTATGTAGGTCTCACTGGTAAATTGACTGTTACCTGTTATCTATCGACTTCGCGCCTGGTGGCGCATAGGGCCAAGAAAAATTGTCTCTAATAATGCTAATAAAATCCTACCTGACAAATCCCAACTGACCAAATAATGATTGTCATGAATAAAAATTTATAGCCATATCTTACTAAACTTCTAAAAGCAGGTATAAACTTTAGAAGATAGTGTAAACAGGGGCTGAAAATAGGGCAAGAACAGTGATTTTCGTCAGCGAGGCGGTGTTTTGGACAAAATTTCTGTGTGGCGGCTGAGAATTTGAGCGGGGTGTCAATGCAGGGGAAACACTGCTTCTAGTATTTTCCGGTGTGACTTCAAAGTTGAAATAAGTTACCTTGCTCAATGACTAAACAGCGAATGTATCTTTACCTCTTCAGACTTTCAAGCAGGTGCACATAGTATACTAGACTGAAAGGAAAAGCATTGAAAGAAATGTCGCAGTCTGACACTGACAGTCAGTTGATGGCTGCCCCACCACCAACCATGGCATATCCGCCAGACAATATAGATCGACTACAGAAGGCAAGTATCAGAAAGTCTTTGCACCACTTTTTTAATGAATAAGGACAAGCAAAGGGTGTACTTCCAGTTACCTAGAAATAAAATATGGGTTCGCTTGGCAAAAAGTTAACATAAGGTCATTGTATCGAAACTTCTAGGAAAAGAGGGGAATATGAAACCTATTTTTTGACATGCAGTAGAAACGGTAGGGTCGCTAGGAATTTCTGGTCGGCTCAACGGGAGGGTGCACAATTTTGTTTAGCTTGATGCGAGATCGTCGCTGTTCAATCGACCTTGGCATCGTCATAATGTACTGTCGTGTTTGTCGATGCTACACGTGCTCGTGGCTGTCGTTGTAACTAGGCAATCAACACGATGGAGGAGAAAGGCCTGCAGGCGGACCCACGCTACAACCAGCTGGTGACCATCGCTAACCGCGTGCGCACGATCCAGGGAGGCATGGGCGGATCGCCGATCCCGCACTCGCCCGGCGGCAGGAACACGCCGCAGATGGGGCCGCCACCGATCGGCGAGAACCTCGGCAGCCCGATGGGTCAGCCCAGCCCGCAGGGCCTGGGATCGCCGCTGCCGCCGTCGTCGAGCATGCAGGGCGGGCCTGTGCCGCCGGGCGGGCAGGGCTACATGCCGGGGGGCGTCATGCAGAATGCGCCGAGCGGCTACCCTCCCGGCGGCATGCAGGGACACGGCCCCGGCAGCATGCCGCCGCCGGACGCGGGCGCGCCGGGGTACATGGGTCAGCCAACGCACCCAGTGCCTGTCAGCGGGCCGCCCCACATGGCGGGGCAGATGGCGCCGGGTGGCAACCTCGGCATGATGAACCAGGGCGGCGGCAAGGGGCAGTACAGCGGCCCGCCGGGCAGCTCCGCACCGCACAGCATGGCGCAGCCGGCGCCGGGCGGTGGCGCCCCCTACTCGTCGCACCTCGCCATGCAGCCGGGCGGCGGCGGTGGACCGCCGCCGATGCATCACGGCGGTAACATGGTGGGAGCGCCGGCAGCGATCGTGGGAGGGCACGGCGTGCCGCCACCGTCCCACATGGGTAACCAAGGTATGGGCAGTGAGCAAGGTTCGGGGAGTAGTGTCGTCGGGTCTTCGCAGGATGACCAGTTTTCAGGTATGGTCGCCGCCGCCACTGCCGTCGCGTCCCCCGCTCCGTTTCTGTTGTCCACGGTGGCCAGCATGCGTGGGAGATGTGTGCTGCATGCGTCGAAAACTTGATGGGCAACCCTACCGCTTCAATCCGGCTCCTAATCAGTTTTTGCTTTATTTTGTATTTGCGGAGAAAAAACGCTTGTGTTTGTGGTGGCGTAACTTGTGTGGCGTTCCGAACATAGCATGCGACTGTGGATGGGTATGTGTGGTATTTCTTTATCATCCGTGTTGGAAATTTGCAGTCGAATGTTATGCAATTACTTTGTCGGCATCGTCAACTTTTTTGCGATGTCGTTTTGTTGATGAAGAACCTAGATGGCATGCATTTTCCGTATGTAGGGCCATGTCATAAAATGCAGCACAAGTTAGAATGGTTAGGTCAAAGGTCAATGGGGCAAAGGACAGATTCAGATTTTGTTCATGTGGATATTCTAAAATAGTATTGTTTTATTTTTTTAATTATATAATTATTGTAGTATGATAAAAAATGTAACAAAATGATTGGCAGGTTTGCCTTGTTTAAATGCTGTAATTTTTTTTTAAAGGCATTTTTGTGTATAATGAATTGCTAGCTAAAATGTGGTTATGAAAATGGAATGGGTCATGTGAACTTGCTAAAAGTTTAAGGTGGTTGCGACTGCTGTCTGGTGTATAGTATGTTTCTAAGCATTTTGGCAGTGATATTTGACTCATATTATAAGATAACAATCTAGCTTTCAGCATTGTTAGTTATATATGGGTTTGGTTATCTTGCACACTAATTTTTAATGTATAACATCTATAAGAAATACAATATAAATTTGCAGAAATAAAAAGTGCAGTAATCATTAGTTACTATTAAAGAGTACAAATTGGTGTGTGAAATAATTAAAACCAATTTTGATGGGGGGTTATGTTAAATGCTATTTTAGAATTTTCCTGTGAAGCTTTACAACTTTTACCGCTTTGTGTCTGTGTTTGAGCACGTGCTTACACGCATCAGGCATGTTGTTACTTTTAGTTTCAATTTGCGTTTATGTTATTTTACCTTTTAGCATCTTGGATACCCCGGAATGCAGCCCCCCCAGCAAGTAAGTTTTAACACATCCATATGTATGCCTTTAATTTGTCATTTGCTATTGTTTAATGCTCAATGTGTGCTTCGGGTGCAACGAACAATTTTACCGAAAATAGTTGTTATGTGAATAATCTCATTTGTGATAATTTAAGATTGGACTCATATCTTGCATGTAAAAACCTTGTGCAACATAAATAGAGTCGCCATTATTCAATTTTTGTGAATATTAACGTCGTTGGTATGTAATGTGTACATTCCCCATCTGGAGAATACGTTCACAAAACCAGCATAGACATATTAACGTCCGGGCATGTGTTATTATCTATGCTTATTAGTAAGTAGTGTGCAAAGACTAGATTCGGTTACAGTATATGTGTATATATATATATATATGTCAGTAGTGAATAATAATAGATTCCATATTAGATCTATTATTATTCACTCCTGTATATGTGTGTGTGCGTGCGTGCGTGTGTGCGTGTGTGTACCTGTGTGTGTGCGTGCGTGTGTGTACCTGTGTGTGTGCGTGCGTGCGTGTGTGTCCCTGTGTGCGTGATATGATGCAGTGTGTAACTTGTGTGTGTGTTTGTGGATGTAGGATTCGCTGGACCGATGCCGCCCCCTGGGCAGGACATGTCACAGAAGCCGACTCCGTTCTCGCAGACGCAGCTGCGGCAGCTGAAGGCACAGATCATGGGCTACAAACTACTGGCGAGAAACAACCCGATCCCCGAGAACCTGATGAAGGCCATACAGGGAAGCATCTTCCCGCCGGGACATCCGTTTCGTGAGTTCGTCTTTCTTCTTACATTGACATCTTCATCTTTCGTGATATTCGTCTTCTTCTTGGTCGTTACCTCGATGGAGATTGATTAAATGGGTTCCTAAAGAAAATGAAATAGAATTTTACACGTGAAAACGGGTGCGTGCTTTCCCTGGGCATCTTGTTTTGCGAGGTTATCTTTTGAAATAATTCACCCTCTCTCAGTCACACTTTGACGAGTAATTGATCGAGTAACATCCTCTGAAATTAAGTCTAATTTTTCAGAGGCGAAAAGTATCTGGTGGTCTCGGATCGATCGCAATGCAGTTATTTCTTTACATTTAAAGATATGCAGCAGCAGCAGCAGCAGCAGCAGCAGCAGCCTCCGCCACCGCCGCAGCACATGGCTCCGTCGATGCGGCCGGGATCGCAACCTCCCTCGCAACAGCTGATGCCTGGTCACGCGGGAGGACCGATGTCTCCACGAGGGGCGCCACAGTTGCCGCTACCTCAAGCGGCGCAACCTGGTGGCATGATGCAGAAGCAGAACAAGATCACACCGATAGCTAAGCCTGAGGGACTGGACCCGGTGCAGATCCTTCAGGAGCGTGAAAACAGGTGGGAATTTGAAACTAAACTTATTGGTACATAGGTTTTTGCATCCTAGGCAACGCAACACAGTAATGAGGTTATTACCCTGAGCAAGTTCCCTTCTACGTATTGAAAACTCTCTCTCTTGACACTAAGCACACTTTCCATCATGTTTCCTTTATAGTGTTGATTTCGTGATTGTGCATTCGAACTGGGTAATTGGCGTTAATTTTGAACTGTGTGTGAAAGTGCATAAGCACGCAATTAGGGTTCACATGATGAATATTGGCGAATAATGATCATGTGTATTGAAACAAAATAATGTAACATACACAAATATTGTATATTTAGAAATAAATAAATATATGTGTGTATATACTATATATATATATATATATATATATATATATATATATATATATACAATAAATAATACGTACATGAATGTTTACGCGCTCGTGTTTGTGGCAGGATCGCGTCGCGGATTGCACACCGCATTCAGGAGCTGCAGAGGTTGCCAGGCACGCTGGCTGATGACCTGCGCATCAAAGCACAGATTGAGCTCCGAGCTCTCAGACTCATCAACTTCCAGCGGCAGGTGCGTTCACTCGGCAGCGACGCCCCTTCCTTAGCTCGTGTCCCTCATTGGCGAGTGGGTGGTGCGATGGTTCGACCTGGTAGATTAAGCTACGATAATAGAGTGTGTGCGTGCATGCGTGCGTCTGTGTGCATGGGTGCGTGTGTCTGTGTGCGTGGGTGTGTGCGTGCATGCGTGCGTGCGTGTGTGTGTGTGAAGATTTGTCGGTCTTGTAGAGTATTGGCACGAAAGATGCACGCTTGTTTGACACAGGGTGTGGATATCCGGTCATGGGGAAATCAACAGAATTGTGCCTGCTGTGCATGTAGGGCAGATTTCTCACACAATGTCAGCTGGATGGTTGGTGGGAGGCTAGTATAGTAATCACCGTCTTATCACGGGTTTTTCGACCGCAGAATTTGCTATTTGTACATCATTTCTCTAACCGCTGCGTAGGTTTCGCATACCTGCGATTTAACCGTGTGTCGACTCGTCTCGGCCCCTGCGTAAAAAATTCTAACCAGTGAGGAGAATTTCCTTAGTCCACCCGCGTGCGCCTCCGCCCATACGTCTAACCCTTCCCTCGATGTACGTGCGAGGGGAGGTTCGCCTTTCCGTCTTCGCTCGGCTGTAGCGCGCGTTTGGATTTCCGCAGGTGCGTACGGAGGTGGTCGCGTGCATGCGGCGCGACACGACGCTCGAGACGGCTCTCAACCTGAAGGCGTACAAGCGCAGCAAGCGGCAGGGCCTGCGCGAGGCGCGCATCACGGAGAAGCTCGAGAAGCAGCAGAAGCTGGAGGCCGAGCGCAAGCGCCGGCAGAAGCACCAGGTACGACATGGGTGCCGGCCAGGGTAAAAAATACACGGGAGCGATGAGCGATTCGCTCTTCAAACCTCCGAAATCACTCCCGTAAGGCTCAAAATTTTTAACCAGTAAAATTTTTGACGAGTGCTATTTTTTCCACAGACGGAAAAAGAGCTCCCGTGAAAAAAAGTTATTTTTTCCCTGGTGACGGCGGAGCGCGAGCTAGCTCCCATGGCCGACGCACGTGCGTTAGCGCTCGCCTTTACGCAACGTACAGGCCAATTTACGATTTTTCTTTTGATTAGTAGTATGGTGATGCCACCCCTATTGAACGGGGAGCTGTCATGTGAACAATACGTGGCATTTGCCTTGAGTGAGTCTTAAGCTGGGTTTACACTGACGATTTTGAGTTGCCGAATTGCCGAATTGTACGAACTTGGCAATTTGGCAACTGACAATCGGCAGTGTAAACGCAAAAGTTGCACGTCCAAACGATCGATAGCAGCGAGTTGGGCGATTAGAACATGTTCTAATTTTGCCAACTTGGAGTAGGCGAGTTGGACGTTTTTTTGCGAAGTGGCCAATCAGAGAACAGCAATCAGTGGTGTGTCCCTCCACCCTAGGGGGAGAGCACGTTTTTGCTTTAGGCGCCACGCTGGCGACATGGAATACATGCAAAAATGTGTATCCTCGTCGCCCCGCGCGTACGCTACGGGTCAAGTGTTGAAACGTTTGCCGCCTCGCGGTTCATAACGTAAGAGCTTTGAACATATATAGAGAGGTTGGTAGAAAGAAGAAAAACGCCAAGTTGCCTGCATAAAGTCGATAGTGTAAACCCAGCTTTATGTACAGGCTTGACCATCGTAGGTAAACCCTACGGTGGAGTAATATGGTGGAGCGGTACTTACCACATGAGGCTTCTGTCCATTTTATTGACTTACCGAGTGTGTTTTGCTTAGAATCGGTTTCGTAGAGCATACTTTGTTTCATTTTGTAGATTTTTTAAATATTTTGTGGTGCTTATGTCCTTCTTATCGAAACACAGAGATGGTTTCGATGAGAATTGCTTTCGTAGAGCATGCTTGGTTGAATTATGTAGATTTTCTTAATGTTTTGTGGTGCGCTAGTTAGCATCATGTCGTGATTTCGATCTTTCAGGAGTATCTGAACGCGATTCTGGCCCACGGCAAGGAGTTCAAGGAATTCCACAGGAACGTCGCGTCAAAGGTCAGCAAGGTGAACAAGGCAGTGGTGACGTGGCACGCAAACACCGAGCGCGAGCTGAAGAAGGAGCAGGAGAGGATCGAGAAGGAGCGCATGCGCAGGCTCATGGTGAGAAGCCGAAAAACGGTTCTGGCTTTTGGGTTTTATCGTGCTAATTATTCTACTAGGTGTTATCGTATCGGGTCGTAGAATTGGATTCAACGTATAATATTTTGGTTGGGGTTATCATTCTGAGGGATTCATGTTTTTGACTCATTTAAGTTTATTCACTTTACAAGTTACTTGTGGCCTAGTCCTGGTGTTATATTGTTAAAGTTATTGAGCGAGAGGTGGACCATACGACGGTAAGAAAAAACGCCATGTCTTCGGTATATTTGCATATCGTCATTAACGTTGCGTGATTTGCGTGCAGGCTGAGGATGAGGAGGGATACAGAAAGCTGATCGATCAGAAGAAGGACAAGCGTCTGGCCTACCTGCTGCAGCAGACGGACGAGTACATCGAAAGTCTCACCAAGATGGTGCAGGAGCACCAACTCGCGCAGAAGAAACGCAAGAAGAAGAAGAAGAAGAAGCCAACCGAGGGAGAGGTACATAATAGATTGTGTGGATAATAATTATTATTTCATATTATTATTATTATTATCAGCATTGTCATAATCATTGTAAGGTACTGAATTATGTGTTACTTTCTCTTTGTCATTAAAAATAATTTATTACTTTGATGTAACTTACGTAAGTGATGAATGTTGAGTTGGGGGTGTTTACTGATGGTGGTTGTACCAAAACATATTGCTTTATTCTTCCCAGTTCTTTTCCACTCGGTCATAATTTTCATCGTGTTTCTTACAGGAAGGAGAAAAGCCAGAAGGAGAACAAGTGGTAACAGTTCCTAAGGATGAAGTAAGTATAAGTGTCCGTCAATATTCACACAGGATGAGAGTGGAAAAGAATCCATGGTGTTTTCTGTCTGACGTGTATCGTCTTTTATTTGCATTTTTCCTGGGTAATAATATTTACGGTAACCTGGTCTGTATCAGCAATATATGATACTTACAATGACTAAGTGAATGTGCAGAACATGTGAAAGTTTGGAATTCGGTATAGTCTGTGTTCATTTCATATACAGTTGGATGTACTTCAATATTCGCTGCACTAAATGTAGTTGTTTTTCTTTTTCGCTCACTTATAAAAGTGTGTTTAAATGTTGTTAACTACACCGTGGCACTGGCAGTTTTCGGTGAATACGAAGGTTCTAAGACATTTTATTGTTACTCTAGACAATTGCTGTTACTCAAGCAATAACGGTAGTTTCATGAAAGTGGTGAAAACACTGGAAAACTCTCGCAATGGTTAGGCCAAAACAAAATATATGTGTGGTTACTGTTACATGCCGAAAAAAAATAGGGTAGGTAGGTAGGGAAAACATTTTATTTTCTTGAAATATTTTATTTACGAACCATGTCCGAAGGATGTGCGATGTGCGTTGTGCCCTATGGTTGTGCCTTTTGAAGCAGGAACTGTCCAATTCATATTTTTTTCCATATTACTTTAAAGAAAATTGACAATTAAAATGTTTAGGGTCGCTGGGAATAAATAGGGTCGGTCGGGAAACCGTAACCACACCTAAGTTTTTTTTAGCTCACCTTGACATCGTCAAGCTGAGCTATTGCCATGGGTCGTCGTACGTCCGTCCGTCCGTTTGTCCGTCAACATTTGGCTACGGTCAACGATAACTCAGGAACCATTTGACCCACATGTTTGAAATTGGGTATAGTTGTTACTGCTGTGGAAGAGGTTTGAACGTTCTATTTTGGAGCACGCCAGTCGATGTACTTTCGAGCCACGGCAATTTTTTGGCAAAAATGGGAATTGCCATTAGTCAGTTCAGGTTCAACTGATTTTGCAAATTTTTGGTCTGTGAATGAATAAGGGCTAGGGGTTTTGATATTTAAAAAAAAAATTATGCAAATTAGGTAGGTTTTGGCAATTATATAGCATATTATATAGACATCAGATAACAGTCTGTGGTGGCACACTCGTCTGGTTCGTTTTACAAGATTTCATTGACAATATCTTTAATGCAAAATTGGTATTTCCTCTCCACCCTGCCGATAAAACGTCTATACTAGAGTAAAGTTTTACAAAACATGTCAGAACGCAGCATAACCTATTTATTTCGAACGCCATTGCTAAGAAACATCAAAGCGGGTATAGCGCCATCTACCGTCACAAATTGTGATTCATTTTGGTTTATAAATTATTATTGCGATATACAGATGGCAACCGTGTGCTACCGCCTAGAAAAACTCATACGAAGTAAACACTTCCATGCAACCAATTAACCTTTGACAAAAGTTGTGTTATGGGCAGGGAAACACCATTGTCACGTGGTATATAGCAGCTACGTGGAATAAGCGTATCCTCTCAATCTTACACGTTAAACATCGGGAGCTCCGCTTTTAGGCAGTGCCTAAATCTGAATATTATAAAAACGTTATTTGTGGTGAGCTACAGTGTCATTGACACTTTCATTCTAATTGAAACCCATCCCATAACGTTCCCCGAAATTCGACGCCACGCACGTTCCTCGTGGAACCGCCGACGTGTTCCTGAGGTGTTCATCGCGTTTCGCTTCGCCGGCAGATCGCCGACGAGAGTTCGCAGACGAGCGATGATCCGGTGTGCGTGATACACATGAAGACGGGAAAGATCCTGCAGGGCGAGGGCGCGCCGCGCGCGTGCCATCTCGACACCTGGCTCGAGACTAATCCCGGCTACCAGGTGTTGCCACGCCGCGCTGACGGCAGCGACGACGAAGACTACGACGAAGGTAACGACTCGCTGCGTACGCCGCAGCGATAAATGATTTTATGCGTGAGACGCGTTGGTGGTCGAACGTTCGTGTAGTGTCGGAGAGGCTTAGTGAAGCATCACCTCATGTAGCAAGTGTGCAAGCAGAAATTTCCTAGCCGGCAGTGCAGAGTCATATGTTGTATATTTCACGTTGTAGGAGATAATAGGGGCTTTGCTCATCAACCCGTAAGCTCACCGTCACGACATATCATTCTTGTTGCTGTCTGTTGACTGAACTCTTTCACGGAAGCAGCTGATGTGTTGTCTTTGCTGCCTACAGAGTCGGGCGAGGAAGAAGAAGAAGAGGAGGAGGTAGCAGGAGTGGCTCCTCCAAAATCAGAAGCTTCACAGGAAAAGGCTACGCCTATCTTCTTGCCTGATGATGAAACCGTCAAGGTTAGGTTCATGTCCATGGCCTTGTTATTGACACTTGGTTACAAACCACTGCGTAACATTTGCAGAATTGGCTTATTTCATGAGATGTTTTCGATTAGCGACCTTGTCACAAGTATACAGAACATACCATTTTTCACGACCATCCCTTCCCGTAAAGGAGTACAAAATGTCTGATTTGGTAGGAAGGTATCAATTGACTTTTGTATTTAATAAGCGTACAATGGCCATTGAGCTCTTTTCCCCTATTGTACAGTTTATGCACTTGTGATTAGTTGATAATTGCGAATGGTTGATAATGCTACATGAAACGTATTCTGCATATTCACCGAGGCGAATTTAAGAGTTCACTGCATGACGTCCTGCTGTTCTATTGTCACTAAACGTTCAAGTGGTAACTGGAAATTGCGAAGACTATGTGAAACGTGTATATGTCAGCAATCTCGTGGATGTGCGGTGTGTGTTTCATCATCAGTACATCTTACCTGTCTTACGCCAGGCTGTACTGAAGAAGGCATCTGTTGGGGAAGACGATGAGTATACGGCGAAACCGACGAGTGCCGGTGGACAGTCTTACTACGCGATGGCGCACTTGGTGCATGAGCCGGTTGAGAAACAAGCAACCATCATGGTCAACGGCGCACTGAAGGAATATCAGGTAATGTGTTGAATCTGAATTTTATCTAGGGCAAGCATACCCTTGTGTTTAATCAGAAATTTTACGGCACCACGGCAAGTTGGAGGGTCGCTAAGGCAAACTGTTTTGAATTTGAGAAGGCTTGTCTAGGCCTCTTACTTTTTAACAACATGATACGCAGGGTTCTCCAAGAGCACTTATAGCCTGGCGGCCCGCCAGGCTATCGTCGAGCCCCGCCATCCTAAAATGTACCCGCCACTCTAAATATCATAGCCCCCGGACCCCCCTAGCACGCAAACCGCCTTCGGCGAGTTGCAACTAGGACCGTAAAGGCAGCACCCGCCATGCTATAATGAAAAAGCTTGGAGAACCCTGATACGGGATATAGAAGGAAACTTACTCGACTGGAATTGATGGGAAGAAAGCAGAGGCAAACACGCCAAGAAAGGAGGGCAACCACAGCATTTGCTGTCGGATCCATTGGTAAAATTTGAGCACTGGGGTTTCGCAGTCTATTTTCGTGAACTCTGCTCTACTACAATGTGCAATCAAAAGCTTCATTACTTTTCGACGGGTAGTATTAATGACATCCTCTTTGAAAGAAGCTTGAAGTTATTTCTCATTGTTGCAGAATTTAAATGCTATATGTATTTATTTAATAATGTGTAATTTATGGACTCCGAATGCAATGCAAATAGTGTATGAACGTGTTGAAAAATGGTAATTTGATTTTTAATTCCCCTGTGTTCAGGTTAAAGGCTTGGAGTGGCTAGTGTCTCTCTACAACAACAACCTGAATGGCATTTTGGCCGATGAGATGGGCCTGGGGAAGACTATACAGACCATTTCGCTAGTCACGTATCTGATGGAGACGAAGAAAGTGAATGGACCCTTCTTGATCATCGTACCCTTGTCGTGAGTGAGAATGTTTCATGTCGTAAAGATCACACAATGTTACATCTTTCCTAGTGCTACAATAGTTCTGTTTTGGCACACATGCTTTTCGTGCGGAATGCGCGTATCTATGCTGCCCAGCATTCGGTTAACGCAAAATGTCATGCACGCCCACGTTCTTTGTAGAACGCTGTCCAATTGGATGTTGGAGTTTGACAAGTGGGCGCCATCTGTCATCAAGATTCCGTACAAGGGGTCACCGGCGCACCGCAAGACGCTGGCGCCTCAGCTGCGACACTCCAAGATCAACGTGATGCTGACCACATACGAGTACATCATCAAGGACAAGGCCGTGCTGGCCAAGGTGAGCGAAAATTCGGTGGCGAACGGCTGCTCTTGTGTTTGGTGACGATGAGAGTTGGTTGAATCGGTCGCTGAGAAATTGTTAAAATTTGGGTAGGTGGATGCATTTCATATGTTATATTAACTAAACCTTAACTAAGCCAACCTACATATTCCATTGTAATAATCCCATAGTTTATGAGAGGGGATATAGTGTTCTACACTCCCGTATGCACGTACGCATGCTCACCTCTCGTTTTTGAATTAATTTGCAATAAGGTGCGCAGGAGTGGAGGTGACTAAACAGTCAGTGCAACGTTGTTTTGATGTGCAGATTCGGTGGAAGTATATGATCATAGATGAAGGCCATCGTATGAAGAACCATCACTGCAAGCTCACGCAGATTCTCAACACCTACTACATCGCTCCGCACAGACTGCTACTGACTGGTACTCCCCTGCAGGTAACAGGCACGCGAAGTAGCTAGTCAGCAGTTGAATTCCGATGTGGTTTGAATTACAGTCACGCCTCTATTTAAGGGCCACTCATGGGAACACTAAATTGTCCTCTATAGACAGGTGTCTGTTCTATAGAGGTGGTTTCGCTGTATAATTTCTACTCTGTAACTCAAGAGCTATGGCTTTGTAGTTGTCTTTTGTATACAGTTGTCTGTTTGTAGAGTTGAATGCTGGTTTAGCTATAATACCAGATATCATCCAAAACTACAGTTCTTGGATCGTTTTTTGTACATGGAGATCAGTAGATTTTGAACATGCTGCATGAGTGACTGATTTATTATACATTTCTGTATTGCTTGTAACGTTATTGCTAATATCTGCCTTCAGAACAAGCTGCCGGAACTGTGGGCCTTGCTGAACTTCTTGCTTCCATCGATCTTCAAGTGCGTGAGCACATTTGAGCAGTGGTTCAACACTCCCTTTGCGATGACTGGAGAGAAGGCATGTTCCACATTTCAATGCACTTCCTTGAGAAAACATTCCGGTTCATATAGATTTATCATAGGATTCTGTGGTTAGGGCAGAGTAATCTATACGTGCACATGCTCAATTACGTTGTGAATATCTTCCAATAGGTGGAGTTGAACGATGAAGAGACCATCCTTATCATTCGACGTCTGCACAAGGTTCTGCGTCCGTTCCTTCTTCGTCGTCTCAAGAAGGAAGTGGAATCGCAGTTGCCCGAAAAGGTATACGTTGTTTTAAGTTTAGTTAGCATTCATATAAGAACAGAAGTTGACAGGTTATGCATGTATAGATGCAAAAATGTATATACCCATGTGTGAAACCAAACGTGTGCTGCCATGTCCTGTAGGATGTAAATGCTCCCAGGTGCAATTGCAAATGTCATATAATACATTTGTCTTTTACAAAAGGAAATGTCAATATACATCCATGTGTAAGAATAAATGTTACTGTCCATATCTGATAATGGTGTATGTGTATTTATTGTTATAATGGATGTTGTTATCGTGGTAGGTGGAGTACGTGGTTAAATGTGACATGTCAGCCGTGCAAAGACTCCTCTACCGCCACATGCAGAACAAGGGTGTGCTGCTCACTGACGGATCGGAGAAGGGAAAGCAGGTACATAAGTAGTGGAATAGGCATATGTAGTATGCACGTGCAACAACAAGCACAAGCGGTGCTGATTCACACCTTTCACACACAAACTAGATTGTGACCTGTTGCAAAAAAAGAAATATTTGATTGTGAGTTGTGGTTTATAATCACAAACTTCCAAATTCGCGAGCAATTTTTTTTTTGCAAACTTGATAAAAACCCAGAATTTTTCCGTACTCACTGGCTGGCTTGCGTGTCCATGCGGTGTTTAACAAGGAAACGTGTCTTCATTTGTTCAACGTAATATTTATAAACTTAAACGAAGAAAAATACACAAGGTTGGAAAGAATAACAAGCTACGAATTTGCATGCTGGGTTTCTCCACTGTAGGGACGGGGAGGCACAAAGACGCTCATGAACACGATCATGCAGCTGAGAAAGATCTGCAACCACCCGTTCATGTTCCAACACATCGAGGAATCGTATGCTGAATGCCATGGATACGCCGGCTCCACTGTCACAGGGTGAGTAAGGTCAAGATCATTGACCTCGTTTCTAGATACGATCGCTTTGGCTACAGAGGCCGTAAATGTACTTCCAGTAATGGGGATGCAGGGGTAGAAATTAACATTTGAACACGGAAGTCCAACGTACTCGCTACCCTCAAAATGAGGGAGTCCGCAGCAAAATGAGGGAGTCCGCAGTCTGAAGTTCAAAATTGAAGATATTAACAATAACGCATGTGCTTATTTTGAAGATTCATGCGGTTGCACACCTGCCAAATTTTCTTTGGTCAAATTTGCTGAAAAAAACGGTAATTCCGCGAGGCCATGCTCTGGAACGAACTAGTTAGTATGGCAGAATTTTCAGGGAGTCACACGGACTCCTGCACATGTCAAATCAGGGAGTCCGGCAGTAAATCTGGGGAGTATTTGACTCCGGACTCCCGTTAATTTCGCACCCTGGGGATGTGAAGGAACCACTTAGGGCAGTAGGGTGTAAAACACTGGCAGTGAGCACCCTCGGTTTCACTGACAGAACCTTCAGTATGATGAGATAAAGGCAGTGAATGAAGAATGATATGATGAGACTAAGGAGTGATGTGTCAATGTTCGTTAGCTCTCAGGACAGCTAAGTTCATATTCTGTTTTCTATATTTGATATTACATTCATGTTCACAATACTTATATTCTATCATCTATATAAATCTTCTGTTTACAGTCGGGATTTATATCGTGCTTCGGGGAAATTTGAGCTGCTTGACCGGATTCTACCGAAACTCAAAGTGACGGGCCACAAAGTACTACTGTTCTGTCAGATGACCACCCTCATGACTATTCTAGAGGATTTCCTATGCTTCCGAGGTACGTATAATGCAGATTACATGAATTTTATTGAGAAAACTGAGCATATATCCTTGGTTCTTAATACTTTTAAAACCAATCTATTTTTTTAAACTTTCAAAAAGTATTGTTTGTTTTTAAATAATATTTACATTTTCATCGTTGCTTTTTAAAAACAGAACCCACCTTCTTAAAATTAAACCCCATTATTGTTTCTCCAAACTTGTTAAATCAGTCTTTGGTGTTTTTTGTTTTTGTTTTTATGTTGTTTTGTTTATGTTTTTTTAAATGGGGCATGGAAAGTTTTAAAAGGTTATCGCGAGCACGAACGAGCGAAGCCCCCTCCTTTACGCAGCCGCATAGCTAACAGTGCTGCCATCTCTTGCAGGCTTCAGCTACTTGCGTCTCGACGGCACGACAAAGTCGGACGACCGCGGCTTGCTGCTGGAGAAGTTTAACGACCCCTCGCTCGAACTGTTCTGCTTCCTGCTGTCGACACGTGCAGGAGGTCTCGGCCTCAACCTACAGACCGCCGACACTGTCATCATCTTCGACTCCGACTGGAATCCTCATCAGGTGAACAGTCGAGTACTATAAAGTAAAGTAATCGGGCACGGTCGAACCCGCGGGCATATCTGTGGTACAAACACCTTTTCGTGGGGAATCACCTTTTGGGTTTTCTTTGAGAAACTCTTTGTGCACAGGTTAGAGTGTATGTGGTTAATAGTTTGATTTGGGGGGGGGAGTTCAGTTTTCAGGTTATGTAGACGAAGCAGTGGCGTGTGGAATTAGCATTTGATTGAACGTGCTCACGATCGTTTAGCGTGTCATTGCAAGATCTGTAAGCGTCTAACTGCACATTATGCAATCGAGAAAACCTGAGCAGAATTAACACTTAACTGACCACGCTCACGACGGTCTGGCTCACGTGCTCGCGTCTGCTATTGCAGGACCTGCAAGCGTCGGACCGCGCGCATCGCATCGGTCAGCAGAACGAGGTGCGCGTCCTGCGTCTGATGACGGTCAACTCGATCGAGGAGAAGATTCTCGCCGCCGCCAAGTACAAGCTGAACGTCGACGAGAAGGTCATCCAGGCGGGCATGTTCGACCAGAAGTCGACCGGCTCCGAGCGGCGGCAGTTCCTGCATGCCGTGCTCAAGAACCAGCAGGAGGGCGACGACGTGAGTGCGAGTGCACGCGCACGCGGCGATCGACCCGTTGTATCCGCCTCGCGAGGTCAGGGGTCGTGCGGGGAGGCGAAGGAAGAGAGAAGTTTCCGAGTTTCCGAGGAAAATTGTTCGAGTTAGAAAATTTTTGCGTTTTGAGGAGCGCGCGAGAAAGATGTGCGTCACGTCGCGCAAACTCCTCTGACGAACAGACGGGCTTCGCCCCTTCCTCGCGTTTCTAGTTTGCGCTGACGTCCGGCGGTGACGCGGTGTTCACCTGGCATGTTTATATATTGAGTTAGAGACAAAAGCACGCTGTTTGCCAGAGCAAAAAGAGTTCCATTCATAGCATGACGGAGGATCGCGCATGTGTAATGACCGAAAGCTATGACCCCCGACTACGAGACCATTAGATTATTATGATTATATATATATATAGATGATTATAGATCACTAGATTATTCCCTCATATAAACCGAGCACTCAGTTCGGTTGACAGTTGACCCAACAACAGTTGCGGTGTAGAACTCGCTCGTTCTTGCCCGGATTTTGGCTGTCTGCTTGACGCGGCGGTGGCGCCCTCTGTGTGTGTAATCGCAGGACGAGGATGAGATTCCGGACGATGAGACAGTCAATCAGATGATCGCACGCACGGAGGACGAGTTTGATCTCTTCCAGCGGCTCGACCTGGAGCGGCGGCGCGAGGCGGCACGTGATCCGAACCGAAAACCCAGGTAGAGGCACCGATGTGTGATAACAGGATAGATCTATCTGTATGCAATAGCAGGATAGACCTATCTTCATGTAATAACTTGATAGATCTATCTTCATGTAATAACTTGATAGATCTATTTGTATGCAATGACCGGATAGATCTGTCTGTACACAATAACAGGATAGATATATCTGTATGCAATAACAGGATAGATCTGTCTGTATGCAATAACAGGATAGATATATCTGTATGCAATAACAGGATAGATCTGTCTGTATGCAATAACAGGATAGATCTGTCTGTACGCAATAACAGGATAGATCTGTCTGTACATAATAATAGGATAGATCTATCTGTACACAATAACAGGATAGATCTGTATGCAATGACAGGATGGATATATCTGTATGCAATGACAGGATAGATCTGTCTGTACACAATAACAGGATAGATCTGTCTGTACACAATGACAGGATAGATCTGTCTGTATGCAATAGCAGGATAGATATATCTGTATGCAATAACAACATATAAATATCTGTACGATAACTGGATAGATTTATCTGCATGCAATAATGGGGTAGGTCTATCTGTATGCAATAACTGTCTAGATTTATCGTGCTTGTGCACTGCGATGGCTGGCATAATATAATATAATATAAGAGTCGTGTGCATAGCAGAGGTCGATAGTGATGAGTATCGGACCTTATTCAGTTGTTCGCCTGTCTGTGATCCTGACTGAAAGTGCAGACAAGTGCTTGCACTTACGTATGCACCGCTGTGAATGCGTGCATGTGTACGTGTAGTCGTGCGTGCATGTATGTACAGGTGCATGTGCGCGTGAACACGTGTCGCTAACCATGTGTTTGTCGACCCGTGCTCTTGCAGGCTGATAGAGGAGAACGAGCTTCCTAGCTGGCTTCTGAAGGATGAAGCCGAGGTGGAGAGACTCACCTACGAGGAGGAGGAAGATAAATTGTTTGGCCGCGGCACCCGCGCGCGTAAGGAGGTCGATTACTCAGACACGCTCACCGAGAAGGAATGGCTGAAGGTAGGAGCGCAGCAGTAGTACAGCACCCACGTGGCGTGCTTTACTAGTCAAACCTGTGTTAGCAGTCTCATCTATGTGAGCATCTGGCTGTAAAGAGATTGTACATGAGGACTTGCTAAAAATTCTAAAACATGCAAACGATTCGCTTTCTTGGGTTCACATAAAATCGCTCACTGCGAACAATGTAGTCACGAGTGTTTGCTTACATCAAAGCGATTGAACAAATCTTTGAAGATCAACCGATTGAAATAACGAAGCAATTTAACGACGAGTAGTGCGATAACGTTAACGACGGTGACGTTGCACGTCGGCAGGCGATCGAGGACGGCACGCTCGACGAACTCGAGGACAAGAAGAAGTCGAGCAAGAAGAGTCGCAAGCGCAAGCGCGAGCGCGACGAGGAGAAGCCCGGCAAAAGCAGCCCGACGGACTCGAAGAAGAAGCGCGGTCGTCCGCGCGTCGAGCGCGCCGAGAACCCGCCGACGCTCACGCGCAAGATGATGAAGCTGCTCAACGTCGTCATCTACTACAAGGACAGGTACACGCTGCTCATCGCTCGCTCGCTCGCCCGTCCGTCCCTCTTTTGTGCCGCGCGCTCGCCGCGCGTCTCTCACTCGCTCACTTGTCCGTCTGTCGTGCCACGCGTCTCTCACTCGCTCACTTGTCCGTCTGTCGTGCCACGCGTCTCTCGCTCGTCTGGCCGTCCGTCGTGTCGCGTGTCTCTCGCTCACTCACTTGTCCGTCCGTCGTGCCACGCGTGTCTCGCTCACTTGTCCGTCCGTCGTGCCGCGTGTCTCTCGCTCACTCACTCGTCCGTCCGTCGTGCCGCGTGTCTCTCGCTCACTCGTCCGTCCATCGTGCCGCGCGTCTCTCGCTCACTCACTCGTCCGTCCGTCGTGCCACGCGTCTCTCGCTCACTCGTCCGTCCGTCGTGCCGCGTGTCTCGCTCACTCGTCCGTCCGTCGTGCCGCGTGTCTCGCTCACTCGTCCGTCCGTCGTGCCACGCGCTCACTCACTCGTCCGTCCATCGTGCCGCGCGCTCGCTCACTCGTCCGTCCGTCGTGCCGCGTGTCTCGCTCACTCGTCCGTCCGTCGTGCCGCGTGTCTCGCTCACTCGTCCGTCCGTCGTGCCGCGTGTCTCGCTCACTCGTCCGTCCGTCGTGGCGCGTGTC